ATGCCGGAGCTTCTGTAGGAACCGAACCTCCTTGATGATGTCCTGCCACTTCTGGGAGGTGGTCAGGGGGAGGAGAGGCTTACTCAGCCTGCATCTTGAGACTGGGGTCTCCTGCCCCCCCCCCAGTCTTGTTAAGCCTGACCCACCTCATTTGATTGCTTCCCACTGTAGGACATCTTCTTGATGGCCACCACCTCATTATTTCGGACATCTCGGGCCTAGAGGACCAGATAAGAAGGTGGTGAAGGCACCCAGTGAGAACTGGGCAGCAGGAAGAGGGCAGGAAAGGTTAGTGTGGTGGAGTCATGTAGAGAACTGTTTGGAGGGCCACACAGGGAAGAATGCAATCCCCATCCCTACCCCCACCCTCCCAAGCCCCAACTCACAAAGTACACAGCTCCAAAGCTGCCATGGCCAATCTCCCGAAGGTCAGAGAAAAGCTTTTCAGGGTCATCCTTGAAAAAGAGCTCAGCCACATCAGGGTCCTTCAGGCTCCCAGCCCGGCCCCCAGCTGGCATGGTGGCCCCTGAGGGCCCTGAGAGTGGGGCCTGATCTGGAGAATAAAAATGGTACTCTTAGAGCAAGGATGGGGCTCTCAGAGAGAGGAAGGTGTCCCTCAAGTTTCTGCCTTCCCCTTCCCTATTTCCCTGATGAGGAAGAGGCACTGCTGAGGAAGGGCAGGGGCAGATTAGGAACATAAAGCTCCAAAAAAATAAAGTTGCCCTGGCAACCAGAGCACGGGGGCCGGAGTCCCTAAAACTGCTAGGAAGACTGGGAGCTAAGGATCCTAACCATCCCCCTCAGACCTCAACAAGTTCCATTTCCCTATAACCCCAACTTCCTCCCTCAAGAATATAAGATTCTGCCTCCCAGCCAGATCCCCAAGCCCCCAAGTGTTCTGTCCCACAAGTCCCATACTCCATCCATATTTCCAGACATCTTCCAATCCCCTTAGCGTTGAGGCCCCCTCCTCCTCCCCTCAACCTCTCACAGCCTGGAAGAGAGCAGGAAATGGCCAGGCCGGAGGCAGTGGAAATCCGGCCATTGTTATAAGTGGTTACTAGTCCAGAGGGGCCAGAAGACTCATTCTCAAAAAGGGCTAGGGATACTGTGGCAGGGAGGAGATCTAGAATGGGAAGGACAGGGACAGAAATGGCATCTGGCTTTGGGGCCCTCTCTGTGATCTGGGCTGCCTTATTTGTCCAGTACAATTACATAGGCATCACACAAGTACAGGGCATTTGCAGTGTACAAGTCACATTTATTGAGCATGTGCAGCAACACCTTATGCATTCTCTCTCATTCAATCCTTACCACAAACTTACGAGGTTATTACTATTACCCTTATTTTGCAGATGAGAAAACAGACTCAGAAAGGTTAAGCGACTTTCCCAAAACTGATCTTCTACCACTGCACTTTCAAAACAGCCTTATGACATAAGCAGGGCAGGATCACGGTCACCATTTCACAGATAGGGTCACTGAGGCATGTTAAGAAAAGAGGACTTCTCCAAGGTCAGAGAATAGGACTTCCTCCTCTCCAGTGAGGCATGTGTGCTCATTACTCTCCCTCAGCAACTCACTATAAGCTCAGGCCGCTCCTGCGGGAAGCTTTCTCTGACCACAGGGGTGCTTAGGGAGAGCTCCTAGAGCACCTAGCCAAACACCCAGAGAAAGCTCCTGCATCAAAGCCAGGACCCCCCAAAGGGATTCCAGGCCAGACTCCTGAGTAAGCACTTGTTGGAATTCAGGCACAAAGGAGCCTTCAGCAGAGCTGGACTCCCAGGGAGAGTTCTAGCTCCTTAAAAGAGCCTAACAATTTAGCATGTAATTATATTCTGTCATGAATTGTTTCCTATTGTGTTGTTAATTTTGTCTCCTTAACCCAACTGGAAGCTGGAGGGCAAGGAGCAAGCCCAACTCTCTCGCGTGGGCCCCTAGGGTGCAGAAGGCTCAGAATAGTCTGCGAGATTGATGGGTTGCCCTCAGTACCTCCTAGGCTGCTCAAAGCAGGCCCCTTTCTCCATTCTCCTGCCAAGCACCCCTCACCCCAACCAGATACCCCCCTACAAAGGCAGGTGCTCAAAATTTGCCAAAGGAATCTTCTTGACCTCTTTACCAGTTCCCAACAAAGAATACCAACACAGGACCCTAGGCCACATCACATGGGGCCTCTTCCTCAAATAACATCGAACACAAGATCTGTGCTAAATCATAACCACCGTCTAAAATGGACAATGTTATCTCCATTCTGAAGATGAGGACATCCAAGTGTGCCTGTCCCTACACTACCAGTAGTACATTTCATACTCAATGTACAGCAACAGGGCTTTGGTAAGTTCATTATACTTGGTCGTCTCTTCAGTAAAATGAATTACAGCACAGGAGTGTTGTGAAATTTTTAGTGAGATCCCATACTTAGGAACACTATGCAGACATTCAGTATATGGATTTTTCTTTCCTGCCTCCAGGGTCACCACAAGGCTTTAACACTTTGGGGATCATCCTACCCCAGCAGCTTGGCTTAACTATTAAGAGACACCACTGTAGCTATCATTTGTCAGAAGAGAGCCCTCTCAGGAACCCAGGGCAAAGACTGAGATCACAGTAAAGATGAAGGTCACAGTGGAGAGAAAAATCCGTGAGGCAGAAGATAGGAGCCAGAGCCTCCCATCAAGAAAAGCTTCTGAGTATAACCCTCCCAAAAAAGGAAGCTCTTCTTCCTCCCATTCTTAAATCTTACCCCAACTTAAATCCTGATTCTGTCACTAAGTGACCTTGGGCAACCTCCCTGGGCCTTAATATTCTCAACTGTAAAATGGGAAGATAGCAATAAAAGGGTGAGTGGGGTTGCATGAGAAAATGGATGTACAGCACTTTGTAAATGATAGATTGCTGACAAGTGTTATGAGATTATTTATACGATATAGCTGGAGGAAAATACTGCCAGGCACTGCCAAACACAAATGCACACACACATTTCCTTGAAAGGACAAGAAACCCAACCAGACCATGCTTAAAAAACAGATAAGCGGACCCACCATGGGGATCAGAGGCATGGGGATCGACACCCCAGAACATACAGTTAAAAGGGTTATAATCACGGAGGCATCTGTGAGGGACAAAGTGAACAGGCGAGATCAGAAGGGTGCAAACCCATCTGATTAGCTCACACACCTAGGGTGTGACGCCCGGTGACATCAGAGACCCTGTCACCTGAGGTCCCCCATCAAAAAGACATAATGAAGGGATGAGGAAGGGGAAGAAGGTGGTAGCAGAAGGCAAGGCTAGCCTGAGGCTGACCACTGGCCCAGCTGGGTTTCCCCATCCTGAGGTGAGGGCCTACCCAGGCCCAGCTTCTGAGAAAGGAGCACCCTTTCTTCTCAATGCTAGACACAGGGACCCGCGTCCCTGCACCCCGTGTCTCACCTGGTAGGGGTCACTATGGTGCCCCAGCGCTTCCGACTCCTCCTGGGGTCCTCCAGCGGCTCGGCCAAGCTGGGAGAGGGGCAAGGAGACCTTTCCCCTTGCCACCTCTTCCTCGGCTTTTTCCCTTCCTGAGGGGCGGGCCCGGGAAGCCTCCCCTGGAGGGGAGGGGGTGACAACCTGATCTGACCTCGCGGTCCAGTCCTCCTCCTCGAGGGCGACAGTTGCGGAGTCGCGGATTTCTGATTGTGGGGTCTGAACCCCAGATATCTGAACGCGGGGAGGCTGAATCTGGTATTTGAACGAGTGGGGAATTAACCCCGGATATGGTGCACGCAGGGCCCTGAACCCGATATTTGGAACCCTATAAAACGAGCCCAGGTTTAGAAAGGTTGGGACCCGAAGTCGCGTATATCTCCAACCTGTGGGGCTAATAGCCAGATATTTGAGAAGTGAGGGGACAAGCCCGAAAATTCAGGACCGGAGCACCAAAGCACCAGGTCTCCGGCCACCGACAGGGCGCCCACCCCTAGGACGTCCGGCCAAACGGCCCCTCTCACGTCAGGGTCGGAGGGTGACAGCCCCACTCCCGCCCCGGCCTCCTCCTCCTTCTCTCTCCTGAGGGCAGGTGAAAGATTGTAGCTAAGGGAAGTCCCGGCAGCCCCTCTCCCTCTCCTCTTCAGTCTTAGGTTCTCGCTGCACCACAACCCAGGTCTCGTCCCGGTCTCCCTCTCCCTCTTCCTCCCAATTCCAAGATGGAGACCGGGTGGGAGCGCGCAAGCGCTGTAGAAACGCCCGGCCAAAGGGGGCGGGGCCTCAGAGGAAACAGCCCCGCCCCTCTCTCCTTACTGCTGGGGCCGGGGAGATAGGCAGCCATGAAGGCAGAGTGCGCACGCGCTCCGCCACGCGGACCCTGGGTGGGAGGCGGGGAGAAGGGCTAGGCTTGGAGGGGGAGGAGCCCAGCGCGCTTTCCAACTGGCGGTGGAGGGGGCTGCGGCGCAGGGGTTCGCCCCGCCTTAGCGGTGAGCCTGAGCTTGTTGCTAGGGGAAGCTTTGAGGGGGCGCGGGCGGAAGGAAAAAAGAAGACGTGATCTGCGCCTGCGTGCAGAGCAGATGCTGGGAGGGGTGAGGGAAGGCTGGTGCTTGGCGCGGGAAAAGGCGGGAAAATGGGCTGCTCAGGTTAGTAACCAGACAGCCTCCCTTTGGGCTACCAACTTTGAGGAATCTTTGCTAGGTAATTTGTAAAGTCCTTAAAGCAAACTGAGGCCTTTTACAGTTGCATGACCTGTCCAAGGTCATATTGCATTATGTAAAAGCACTCCCATGCCCAAACCCACCCAATTCTCTCAACTAGCTGAAATTAGCGATTTTATTTTATAGGCATAAGGTGGCAGAGTTGGGATCAAAACCTGTTTTCCAAAGCCAAGGTACAACCGTAGGAATAGCTGCAGTAGGTTGCCCTATGACAACCTGTATCCCAAACGAAGAATCAGCAAGGAAGAATCCCCTGAACCTCCCAAACCAATCTACTCTAAAATTCCCACCTCATCCAATTCCCAATAAACACACTGGCAGCATTGGGCAAAAAATCCTTTTATTTTCCCCCACATTCTAGCTCTCCATTTTCTGTAACATCTCTTCCAACTTAGAACCATGGCCCAAGAAGTTGATCCACACCTGGAGAGAGAAAAAATTAAAAAACAGGGCAGGTGAGAAAGCCCTTGTGGGAAGCTCTGGAATGGCTCAGAAACTGAGGAAAGAGCACAGGAAGTGACAACTAGAGATAGGTACAAGCACTCATCCCAACTGGGATGGCCTCAGTACTCCAGGATCTGCCTGGGGCCAGAAAGTATTCCTTTTCCAGTCTGCTCAGATCTAAGAAAGGCCTGGTCTCTCTGCTACACTCAGCCAGTCTCTTCCACTCAGCACCAGTGGCCCCCATGGCCTGCAGTGGCAAGTCATAGCATCTTAGTTTGGCATTATGGTGCCTCATTTCCTGCCTCAAGTAGGTAGCTAAAGCAGTCAGGTCTAGACCCAAGCAAAATAAGAAAGTTGATCTTGAACGTCCAGTTTCTCTGGCCCTTCCCTGGTCCTGAGCTGTTTCTACTACTCCCACGGTTATGTTCTAGGGCATAGCAGCCAGCTGAAGCTGAGAACAATTTAAGAACTGGATGCACAATATATGACCCTCAAATTGTATGAGACCTACCTGACAGGGTGAGAATATTTTACAGAAATATTTTTTCCTTTAATGATCTGACACACAAACTGGTCAGCCAATATGTTTACCATCCACTGCTACCTTTGTGAGGCTGTGTCCCTTGAAAGATTCTGTTAGCAGAATCAACTTTTTCTAAAGGCAATAATGGCTAATGGAAAAGAGAAAGTGCATGTAAAGAACTTGGGCATCGTATGTGCCTAGTAACAGGCATCATCAATCAATTCTTTTGAGCAGTTCAAGATGACTTTTATAAAATCTGAGTCATAAAACTGGGTATCAGAATTTCAGGACAAAAGCAAGACAAACATGATTCATATCCAGGACACATCATCAAATTTGAACCTTCTTGCCCTAACTGGTTTGGCTCAGTGGTTAGAGCATCAGCCCGTGGCCTGAAGGGTTCCAGGTTCAATTCGGCCAAGGACACATACCTCAGTTATAGGCTCGATCCCTGACCCTGGGCATGTGTGGGATGCAACCAATTGATGTGTCTCTCTCACATCGATGTTTCTCTCTCTCCCCCTTTCCCTTCCACTCTCTCTGAAAAGCAATGGAAAGAATATCCTCAAGTGAGGATTTAAAAAATAATTTGGCCTGGCTGGGTCTGGCTCAGCAGTTGAACATCAACCTAGGATCCAGGCGATCAGGGTTCGATTCCCTGTCAGGGCACATACCCAGGCTGTGGCCTCAATCCTCAGCTGGGGGCGTGCAGGAGGCAGCCAGTCAATGACTCTCATCATTGGTGTTTCTCTCTCTCTCTCCCCTCTCTGAAATCAATAAAGATATATTTAAAAAATATATATATTTGAAACTTCTTAATTCACCATTATTACTAAAAAGCTTCTTCAATGTGGACTAGAGCTATGGGTGAATCTTAAAATCAGGATGTTAACAGAAAGAAGTCAGTCACAAAAGAATACATACGATTCCATCTATATAAAGTTCAAAAATAAGTAAAACCAAACCATATTGTTTAGGAATAGCTATTTCAGTTACAATTCCCACTCCCACCCCATCTTCTATTCTCACAGAACTGGGGCAAAGAACCTTACCTGAGAACAAGACAGGAACTAGGCCAGTGCCCTTATAGCCGGGTTCTAAACCAGTAGGACTCCCGGCGTGGGTGGAAACATACAGCAGTAAAAAACCAGAGAAGGCCACAGAAGAGAAGCAGGAAGGAGCCCAAAACCAGCAGCCTGGAGCCACACAGAGCCAGCTCCTCCTAGGTGGGCACAGGGAGGGAAGGAGAAATGAATGAGACAGAGGAAGGATAGAGAATCTTCCCTTAGGAAGACATCTTACCCCCAGCCCCAGGCTATGGAGAGAAGCCTCTATGGAGGAAAGGGCTCTCCACATCCAGGGAGCAACTAAAAGGAAAATGTTACTTCTATAAAAGCTAATTGTCTCTATGATCTACAAACTGCTTTCTTGCCCAACCATTGAGCCCCCTAATGATGACTCTATGAGAATTCACTATTATCCACATTTTTAAAATGTGCAAGCAGGGCCAGGTCTGGAAACCAAGATCTTCCCTGATTCCAAGCTCCCAGATGATGCTCCTCACGAGGGTCTTTGCAAACGTGAGGGAAGAATGTGCAGCAGCCTCCTAACTGGTCTCTCTCCTCCACTCGGGGCCAGTCACTTCCACCCAGCAGCAGTGGTCCCCATGGCCTGCAGTGTCAAGTCATAGCATCTTAGCCTGGCATCACAGTGCCTCATGATCAGGCTCCTGCATCTCTCCTGTCTCTTCCCTTAAGGCATTCCTCAGCCCCTCATCATGGAGTGTCCCCAAAGGCTGAACACTTTTTAATCTCTAGGCCTGTGCTCATGCTGGCCCCTTATGCCTGGAATGTAGTTCCTCTTTCTTGTACCCCCTCTGGTGCACTATCTGCCCAAATCTTCCTCATCCTTCAGGGATCATCCTGACAGGGCAGAACAAGCCTGGGACTCAGTCAGAAACTAGGTTGAAATCCTGGGTCAGTAGCAGTGTGGCCTTGAGCAATTCACTCCCTCTCTCTGAACCTGTTTCCTCATCTGTAAGATGGGATAATAACAGCTACCTCAAAGGCTATTTTAAGATCAAATGAGATAATGAATCTGAAAGTACTCTGTACGTTATAAACTACTGTACACAATTCCCTTTCTTAAATGCTATCATCTCTGTGAAACACTCTATATAAATATTCAAGTTAGAGTTAATTGCTCCTTATGATGTGTTAGAGTAACACTTGGCTCACATCTCTATGCTGGCAATTAGCTTATTCTGCCTTAGTCCAGCTTCTGAATTCCTTTGAGGTAGAGGTCATATTTTATTGTACTTAAAGACAATAGTTAATAGTAATAGCTGTCATTTATCAAATCTCTATTATGTACCAGGCATTGTACTAGGTTCTTTATATTCACTCTCATTTCTTTGTTGGAATTAGGAGATAGTATCATGTTTCCTATTTTACAGACGAGGAAGCTGAGGCTCAGAGAGACTCAGGTCCTTGTTCAAGATCACACAGCCTCCCAGTCAGGATTATAAAGCCTATATTTTATCTATTAGGTAAAATTGCCCTTAAGCCCTGGCTGGTGTGGCTCAGTTTGTTCAGCATCATCCTGAGCACCAGAAGGTCGCAGGTTCAATCCCAGTCAGGGCACGTACCTGGGCTGTGGGTTAGACCCCTGTAGGGGTGCGAATGGGAGGCGACCAATCAATGTATCTCTCTCACATTGATGTTTCTCTACCTCCCTAAAAAAAAAACTGCCTTCAAGACACAGCATGCAGCATGGAAGTCTATGAAACTCTGACAACCTGAAGCTCTTACCGAGGTGAGCAGCTTGGTAAGCACAAGGCCCTCCTGGCTCCAGACCCTGACACAATCCTCAGCCACCCTAGGGCTCAGGGTAGCATTTCCTACTCCCTCCTCAGAGCAGGATATGGGTGGCTGGCTGGAGGGCAGGAGTTCTGAATCAGCACTAAAATACAGGCAGATTCCTGGGGTCCTTTCTGTGGTCACCCTGGCTGTAATGAGGACCAGCTCTTCTGCAAAAGATCCTATGAGAGGCACAGGAGAGGAGATGGAAGAAAAATGAAGGATCTGGTGGGAACCATCCATTTTCAGACTTCTATACATTTCTAAAGCTTCCTACAGTACCAGGTATTTTGGCACTGATTCTATTCAAGAAAGTACTCTATATACCATCATTTAAAAATGAAAATAACTGGGTACCAATATAAACTAAGATTAATTTAAATTAGCTTACAACCAACAAAACAAACACATCAATACTTGCAAGGCTGCAGTGAAACTGGGATAGATACACGTTGTCAATGTCAGTTTGTATAAACTAGTCCATCGTTTTTTAAGAAAGCAGTTTTCCACTAGTACCAAAATCCATTAAAAAGTTCACATCCCGGTGTCGCTCAGTGGTTAGAGTGCCAGCCCGAGTACCAAAGAGTCTGGGGTTCAATACGTGGTCAGAGGCACATACCTGGGTTGCAGGTTCCATCCCCGGCCCGGGTTGGGGAGCATGTGGGAGGCAATCTATCGATGTTTCTCTCTCTTCCTCTCTCTCTCTCCTCCCCTCTCCCTCCCTCCCTTCCACTTGCTCTAAAAATCAGTAGAAAAAATATCCTTGGGTAAAGATTAACAAAACAAAACCAAAAAAAAGTTCACATCCCATTTCAAATTAGTGGAAAAATAGTGGCCTATTTAGTCAATGCCCTTGGGATAATTTCCACTTGGGAAAAAAGGTTAGACTCTTATCTTACACTATAAAATAAAGTCCAGATGTATTAAAGACCTATACAAACAAACTAACAAACTAAAACAAAACAAAACAAAAACCTAAGCAAGTATTAAAAGAAAATACAGAAGAATATTTTCTATTTTTCAAGTTGGGAAGCCCTTCCTAAAAAAGTCACAAAACCTAAAAGCCTAAGTAAAGGACAAGAGCAATAAAGTTAACCTCAAAACAAATTAAAGACTTCTATATAATGAAAGATAAACACACAAGTAACAGATTGTTTGAAAATATCTAGAATAGATTTAATTGGCAAAAAGGTTTACTATCCAGAATGCATAAAGACCTAAAAATCGAGAAGATAAAGATGAAGAAAAATAAGCAAAAAAAATGAAGAAGAAATTCAGAGAAAACATGAAAATGGACAATAAACTTATAAGAAGATGCTCAACCTCACTAGTAATCAGGAGAAAGTAAATTAAATCAGGTAACTCCCTTGCCCATTAAGTTGGTAAAAATTTTAAAAAGTAATAGTTACAAGAGTTGAAGATGTGGGAAAATGGGCACTCTCAATTCATAAATCTTTTAGGAGACAATTTGGTGGGCTGTATCTGTCACAATTTTAAATGGGTACAGAGAGGGACTAAGATGCCCACCAAACTATCAACTCTGTAGCGGAGGTAGGAGGACTTTTACCTCTGCTTTGTATATTTCTGTGTGGTCTGAATCCACAACAAAGTGAATTTGTCTATTAAAAAGAGTATTCAAGGTAAAAAAAAAAAAAAAAGTGTGGGTGTGTGTCCATATCCTTTGACTCAGTAATACCACTTGTAGAAACTAATCCTAAGGAAAAGATTCAAAAGAAAAATGCAGCCCGGCCTGAGTGGCTCTGCAGTTGAGCATCAACCTAGGATGCAGGCGATTGGGGTTCGATTCCCAGTCAGGGCACATGCCCAGGTTGCGGGCTCCATCAATGACTCTCTCATCATGATGTTTCTATCTTTCTCTCTCTCCTTGCCTCTCTCTGAAATCAATAAAGATATATTTAAAAAAGAAAAAGAAAAATGCAAAGTATACCCAGATATTTATTGTGATTTCGTAAAAAATGCCAAAAAATAGGAAACAATAGAGATGTTTAACAATAAGGAAAGCATTAACAAATGGTCTAACCCCTTAATGAATCACTTTACACCATTAAAATAATAATGCTTTTGTTTTTTGCACTAATACAAAAAACACGGTGTCATAAGTGAAAAAAGAGAAATACAAACCAGTATATACATCATAATTACAACTGAGAAAAGTACATGTAAAATTCTATAAAAGGACTCCCCTTTCTTCTATATTCCCCAGATCGAATGAGTCACCAAATCCTGTCAATCTTACACTTCTTAATGTCTCTCTCAAATCAGTCCCCTTCTTTCACAGCAATGTCTTAGCTCAGTTTTTCTCTTCATCTTTTTATTACAACCACCTCCCCCCTAGTTTTCCTGTATCTGGACACATTCCTTCCAGGCAGTCAGCCAACAAGTGTTATCTTTTTAAAAGAACAACACAAAAACAAAATCTTACTGTTTTCCTGATTAAAATCTTTGAATTGGCCCAATGTACTGAATAAAGTCCAACTACCTTGGCTTGGCACATGAGACCCGCCACAGAACTGAGTGTTTCTTCAGGCCCATTACCTGCCACACACTCAACAATCCTTTCCCTGTACCAGTCAAACTGAAGCCCTGGAAGTTTCTAAACATGCCATCATGGTCTCCACCTGTACACCTTTGCATATACTCTCCCCTCTGGCTGGAAGGGCACCCTGAAAGGCCTCCCTCAAGTCTTAGCTCAGGCACTGTGTATCCTTGGAAAAGCCTGTCCTCACCATCCCCGCTTGATAGACTTCTGAGTACTCGCACTCTACTTTCTGTTCTGCACACATTGCAAAGTATTTATTTCTGTTCACATCTGTAACCTTGCTAGACAGTGAGCAACTTGAAACGAGAGTCCATGTCTCACAGATCTCTGTATTTCCCATGCTTGGTACATAGTAGGTGCTCATTTTAAATTTTGTCCAAAGTACTCTTTGATGTTATTACTTTGTTTCTAACCATTATTTAAAGAAACAGGGCTTCTTTGCAGAAGCAAAAATTGACAAGCTGATCCTAAAATTCATATGGAAATTCAAAGTATCCAGAACAGCCAAGACAATCTTTAAAAAGGACAAAGTTGGCGTGGCCGGCACCGTTGAGCATCAACCTATGAACTAGGAGATCACAGTTCCATTCCCCGTCAGAGCACATGCCCGGGTTTCAGGCTCCATCCCCAGTGGGGGGCATGTAGGAGGCAGCCAATCAATGAATCTCTCTCATCATGATGTTTCTATCTCTCTCTCCCTCTCCCTTCCTCTCTCTGAAATCAATAAAAACATATTTAAAAAAAGAACAAAGTTGGAGGACTCATATTTTCTGATTTCAAAACTTACTACAAAGCTATAGTGATAAAAACAGTGTGGCACTAGCACGAGGATAGACATATAGATCAATGGAATAGAACTAAAAGTCCAGAAATAAACTCATACATCTATGGCCAACTGATTTTTTTTAAAATCCTTACCCAAGGATATGTTTTTATTTATTTTTAGAGAGAGGACGGGAGAGAGAGAGAGAAACATCAATGTGAGGAAGAAACATGGATCGGCTGCCTCCCATACGCGCCCCAACCAGGGATTGAACCCCAACGTACGTATGTGCCCTGACTGGGAATCAATCCTGCAGCCTTTTGGTATATAGGACATCCAACTAACTGAGCCACCTGGCCAGGGCATATGGTCAAGGGTATCAAGACTATTCAATAGGGAAAGAATAGTCTTTTCAACAAAACATGATAGGACAACTGAATAGCCATCTGCAAAAGAATGAAGTTGGATCCCATCCTCACACCATAGACAAAAATTAACTCAAAATGGATCACAGAGCACTGGCTGTTGTAGCTCAGTTGGTTGGAGTGTTGTCCTGTATACCGAAAGGTTTAGGATTTGATTCTTGGTCATGGCACATTCCTGGGTTACGGGTTCAATCCACCATCGGGGCATGTGCAGAGGGCAACTGGTTAATGTTCTCTCTCGCATCGATGTTTCTCTCTCTCTCCCTTCCCTTCTCTCTAGGATCAACGAACACATCCTAGGGTGAGGATTTAAAACTTAAAAAAAAAAGGATCATAGACCTAAATGTAAGAGCTAAAACTATAAAATTCCTAAAAGACAAAAACAGAAGTAAATCTTAGTGAACTTGGGTTAGGCAAAGTCTTCTTAGATGTCACACTAAAATCACAAGCAACAATAGAAAAAAATAGGTAAGCTGGAATTCATCTAAATCAAAAACGTTTGTGCTTCAAAGCATACCATCAAAAAAGTGAAAAGAGCCCAGAGAATGAGAGAGAATATTTGCAAATCATACATCAGATAAGAATCTTGTATCTAGAAAATATAAAGAACACTTACAACTGAATAATTAAAAGACAAATTACCCAATTTAAAAAATGGGCAAAGACTCTGAATATACATTTCTCCAAAAATATGCAAATAGCCTATAAGCACATGAAAAAATCCTCAATATCATTAGCTACCAGGAAAATGCAAATCAAAATCACAGTGAGATATCACTTCACACTGACTAGGAGGGCTATAATAAAAAAGACCGATAATAGCAAGGGTTGTGGAAGATGTAGAGAAACTGGAACTCTCATACGCTGCTGGTACAGCCACTTTTAAAACAGTGTGGCAGTTCCTCAAAAAGACTGAACAGAGTTACCATAAGACCCAGTAATTCCACTCCTAGTTATAACATACTCAAGAGAAATAAAAATATATGATCACACAGAAACTTGTACGCGACTGTGTATAGCAGCATTATTCATAATAGCTAAAAGGTGGAAACAATCCAAATGTCAATTAAATAATGGACAAATACAATGTGGAAGTCATACAGTGAATATTATTAAGCAAAAAGAAGTGAAGTACTGATATATGCTACAACGTAGATGAACCTTGAAAACATTAAGCTAAGTGAAAGAAGCCAGTCAAAACAGACCATTATATGAAATGTCCAGAATAAGCAAATCTACAGAGACAGGAAGCAGATTAGTGACAGGAAGTAGATTAGAGTTGGGAGGTGAGGAGAAAATGGAGAATGACTGCTAATGGGTACAGGATTTCTTTGTCTGGTAATGAAAATGTTCTAAAATTGATTGTGATGATGGTTGCACACTTTCGTAAATATAAGAAAAGCCATTTAATTGTACATTTTAAATACATGAATTTTATGGCATGCGACTCATCTCAATAACGCTATTATATATCAGACACATTCCTTTATTCTTGTTCTTTGATCACACACATGTACACCTAGACATACAAAGACCTACCCCCCACACACATATACACATATGTGATTCATAGAATCTTAGAATGATAATATGTTGAAAAGGACCTCAGAGGTCAGAGAATTCCACCATTCTCTCCTCCCTCTTCATCTCCCAATTTTTTAGATAAGGAGCCTGAGGCCAGATCTCACACAGGAATTAATAGAACCCACTGACTCTCCCTCTCTCATTATTTTCCCAGAAGACTTTAAGTGCTTTGGAAATGGATGATGTCTAATTTTTTCTGTATCCTCCATAGCACATAGAGCTGTGCTAAGTACAAAGCAGGCACCGAAGACATTAGTTTAACTGAACAGAATATGCTTCTTAGATATCCCTTAGGGAAAAGGTGCCTCTATGAGGAGAAGGGTGGAGGAATAAAAAGGGATGACAAAGAACGTTAGGTCAAACGTAGCCCATCTCATCACACCTCCAAGGACAAAATCAAACAATCCCAGAGCTGGAAGGGGAAAGAAAACATTTATAGAGAACCTACACAGTGGGACAGTGGACATTGTTTTCACTGGAAGTATCTAGTCCTTATTACAGCAGAAGCGACTAAAGCCCAGGGATATGCTTAAGGTCACCAGATTAGTGAGTTCAGAGGCAGGGCCCACCCCTGAGTGTTCTGATGTCTAACCCCACAGTCCTTGATCTCACCTTTCAGTCCCATCTGACTACCTGGAACCTTGGCTTGGAATGTCTGGGTCTTGTTCCTGTCTGGACCATCTCCAAAGTTCAAGGTGGTCCGCAAGCCCACGACGTGGGACCCATGCCACTTCCCTGTGACTGTCGGAGTTACAGGGCACAGGGTCAGCTGGCCAAAAGATCTCAAGAAGGAGACCCAGTCCTGTGTGCAAGGAAGGTGGGAGAGAGGTGAGAGATTTGCAGCAAGAGCTGGCCTACCTGTGACTGATGAATAGGAGAGTACTCACCTGAGGGATGTCAGGGCTGCGCAGACCAGTCCTGTGAGTGAGGAGGAAGCCACCAAGGCCCAGGCCAGAAAGGCCAAGAAGCAACAGGATCAAAGTGGCACAGACCAGAGGTGGGTGGTGGGCCAGACAGAGATGCAGGTTGTGCCCTGCCTGGCAGCTGCCCATGGGGAGCAGAGGTGTCTGGGCCTCCAAGGAAAGCCTGCTGGAGGACAGGAAGGGAGAACTGGACAAGAGCCTACCAGTCAGAAGGCACTTACCCATTTTACTCAAAGGGAAGCTAAAGCACCAAGGGGACAAGGGACTTGCCCACGGCCACACAGGTAGTGGCAGAGACAGGACAGGAATCCAAGGCTCTCGACTCCAAGTGTTCATCCCCTGCACCACTCAGTAAATGTTTGCTGCATTTCATTTCTGAAGCGATCAAGGCGGAAGTGGAGGAGAGCATGCTGTGCTGGAAAAACGAACTCGAAAAGGAGAATTCTTAAAAATAGAATTTCAGGAAACAGCTGTTCTGGGCCTAGGGTTTGGCTGCAGAATAGTTCCAGCCAATAGCCCAAAGGAAGTGTCTGACAAAAAGAAACCCACTTTGGAGTTACATTGCTCAATGTGACTCCTCCTCTGCCCTTCATTGGCTATGTGAGAAAAATCAGTCAAACTTTGGGAGTTTAAGAATCTGTGAAATGGGAGTTCTAAGCCATGTAATGAGAACTAAGTGTGGCAGATAAAGCAGTTTGCATAATACTTGGCCATGCAGGAATTCAACAAATGTCCATTTCTTTTCTATTTTTCTGTGTCATAGTGATCTTCAGAAAAGGTGAGGCAGGGCAAAAACTGAGGCTTGTGGACTTTAACAGGAATGGTAGGGCCAAGGTCTGAAACCCGTCTCCTGCCTCCAAGTGGAGTGCTCTTTTCCAGGCGAGAAGCCACAGCCTGATGAAAAGGAACATCTGGAAAGGGGATGGGGGAGCAGGGGAGCGCCAGGAAAATGCAGGTGCCACAAATGCTGGCCCTGCCCTGCCTCCCGGGGCGGCTCGTTCGGAAAGGGGAAAGAGCAGGAAGGGGTGGGCAGGGCCTGAGGGTCAGCGGCCGACGGCGCCCCCGGGCCTCCCCTTCCCCCGCCCCCCTGCAGGAGCTTTACACACGCGCCCCTCCCCA